TGCTGTTGGCACATCCATCATTTCAGCTCAAATTTCATTTATACATTTATTTGAATAGTTTTGTTTCTCATAACAATGAGGAAAAATAGTTAAATATTTGTATATGTACATATATAAGGACCTGAAAGCTCAGATCCATCATTTTATGCATTTTCAAAGTGTGCTTTGGTGAGCAAATACAATAGCAGGTATAAGGATCGCCTCCTTACCTTGACAAAAACTGCATAAAGGGCCATTTCTGAGGGTTTTTCTGTAACAAGGCACAAGAGCAGCTCCAGAGCCATGTCCACCTCCCCACCCACACCACTGCACACATGGGTCACCAAAGAGCCCACCACCTCCTACAACACATACAGGATGGAATTAAAATGACTTGGCTGCAAAAACAACAGATAAACAGGCTTAAGCACATTTCTTTTTAAAATGAATTCCAAACCCACCTGTTGGCAGTAGGAGTCAAAAGCTGTGAACGAGTGTCGGTACATGTGTCCACCAAAGGGCACCACACAGGGGTCAGGGGAGCGCAACAAGCTCTGAGCCAGAGCCAGGATGGAGGGGAAATACCCTCGCATGACCTAGAGCGTCATCATTGATTAATACAACCAATCATTCAAATAGTAATAATATATATAAAAACAAAATGCACCGTGCTGCTGTCTTTGTATTCAAGCTTGTACATACGTCTGCAGACTGACCCACCTGAGCGTAGTCCCTGAAGGTCCTCTGGAGCAGAGCCTCCTGGATCAGTCCAGTCCTCACTTTCCCCTTCAGCACCCTCTCTGCCCCCCGCCGGCTCTGGTTGGCATTGGTGGAGTGGAGGATGAACAGCACCAGCAGATCTACTACCTGACATGGCCGAGCACATGTTCAGGGATAGACGGATCCACACCCCCACAGACACACATAGATGTGACACATTCAGACAGGTCCTTGATTGTTAAAATGTCCATTGTGTCCAAACTTTGTGATTGGTTTTGAAGATGACAGATGGTGTACAGTATGATAAATGTTTCTATCATTGTCCAGACTTCATAAACAACTGCAGAACTGTAGTCAAAATGAATAAATTCTAATAAATTGTATAGACATGTGTGGGCACATCAGCCCAGAATGGTATGTAAGCGCTCTGTTTACACATTTATACTGTTTACTAGTGGATACCCTGAACCAAGGAGATGACACTCACCTTATGGTCCTCCTCTCCGTCCACGGACTCTATTGCCTGATTAAAAAAGCGACAGTAATCGTTCAGTAAGCAACACTGAAATTGACAAGACTTTCATTCAAAAGCATCAGCATGTATTAGTCAACTGATTCATTTCCCACCTTGAGCCAAGCCTCAGATATCATTTTCTGGAATCGCACTGCTGACTTGATGCCGTCCAGTGTCAACATCACGCTGTCTTGGCTGCTGCCAGCTGATGGTGTGGAAGCGGACCTGCTCCAAGAACAGACTTACTCCATTAAACTTCAGGAATGCAACTACACCAAGAACCTTCTGGTCTACTTCAAAACATGTTCCTGACTAAATATACTGATGAATAGCTGTGAGGGATTTGGAATCTGTGTTGTCTTACGCGGCTGGTCCTTTGCTCTTTATGCGGCTCTGAGAGGCCTGCAGCACAGCGGGGAGGACACACTGCTCCAGCTCCAGCTTTTTACGAAGATCACACACCACCTACACGCAGGACGCAGACACGCCACATTCTTGATTTCAAAATATACGTACTGTAAAGAGCACAACTACTATCTAGTGTTTCCTAAATGCATAATGGCGTAGACTCTGAGTCTGACCTCATAGGCATCAGAAGCTGAGACAGAATGCAGGATGAACTTGACCACCACAGGTAGGTCCTCCAGCTGCACAGCAGCCAAAGTGACCATGACGGCTCCACGGACCTGACAGAGCAGACAGTGACAGGTAACAACACAGTGACATTCAAATACATGTAATATAATCTGTGTGTGTGTGTGTGTGTGTGTGTGTACTACCTCAGTAAGTAATGAGGAACTGAGGTTCAGACTAGAGAGGGCATCCAGGATGGGGACAGTCAGCTGAGTGTTCTCCTGAAGTAAAGAGCTACAGAGAACCGGGATGAAAACAGCACATACAGCACAAGTACCACAGATGTGTAGTAGAGATGTACTGCACATACTTGAGCTCTCTGGCTATATCATTGTGCTGGGAGTCCTCCAGTATTTCTGGCAGACTGCTGATGATGTCACGCTGAACCTCCACCGGTGCTACCGACACCAGCTCCATGAGCTTCGCCGCCAACTCCTACAAAATAACCGGCCACAAAGAGGGCTGAAATAAAGACCTCACCGTCTAGACATTAGTGATGATGATTATAGGTGTAATGGAACAGATCAGCAAAAATAAATACACGGCTATTGACTTTAATTCTCACGTGCATCCCTATCATCAGAGAAATGACTACCTTGCTGTCCACAACTCGGTCGAGCCATTTAAACTGGTTGATGATTGTGTGAGGAATACTGAGCCCTCCATCTCCAGCACTGTGTGGGACAGAACAAGTTAACGTTTAGAAAGATAACACAGCGGCAAAAAAAAAAGTGTAAAACGGTTAAAAATGCTGTAAAAAAACTAAATACTGACCCATCAAACATAAATTCCGGGAGCTTCTCGAGCAAGGTGTTGATGATGACGGTCTGCGTGAAAAAGAAAAGTAGATTATGGATTAGTGGAATATGCACAGAAAAATACATTTTGAATTCGTTTTTCTGCGTGACATCCTTTGTGAAGGGTGGTGCGCTGTGGTCTTAGGGAGAATATATGAAAGAATCTCACCTGCAGCATCTCAATCCCCAACAGCATGCGTAGCAGACTTTCCTGAAAAGAGCTGCCATTACTGCAACACAGATTAAAAACATGTCAGTATGTCACACCATACAGTCAGACTCCTGACATAAGGTTGGTCTGGGCCGGAGCTCTCCTCTGTATAAGTTCTGCCCACGTAGCCTCTAATAGCATTGAGTGTGTTTATATGAGAGTCACCTGGCGTCTCCATCAGACAATCGTGGGACACATGGAAAAAGGCAGTTCCTAAAGCGCTCAGGGTCCTCAATGTGAGACTCCAATCCAGCGGTGAACTCCTGCACAATCTGAGCAAAGAAATGTCCGTGAAACACAACCGCCTCATGTTAAAACCCTTGATCTTGTGTAGGGACGGTGTACAGCGTATACTTACTCCCGGGTACCTGGGACTCTTCTGTAGTTGTTTCTGTATTCTTTTTTGGAAAACGACTTGGTCGACAGCTAGGGGGGGAAAAGATAAGGACCAGAAAAATCATAAACTAACTTCATTCACTGGCTTGGTATGTTTTGAAACTTGGATTGAGTGTGTTTTTACCGATCTCATTGGATGTTCCGCCTTGTTTCAAGGTGACACCTGCCTCCCGAAGAAAGACCCCAAACACACTTTCATTCGTTTCCTCTGGAGCAGGTTCCTTTGCTTTGCGACCAGTGGTGCGACTCTTCTTTGCCTCTATAGAGAGAAGAGAACAGACCTTAAACAAAACAGAATCCAGCCGAGAATACTGGGCTCCCCATGAAGACAATAATTGAGACAAGGTGCCATCAGTTAATGAAGAGAGTGAGATATGGTGTTTCCCTGTTATGTCATACTCCTGTAATGTGACGTCACTCTCAATGTAAATAATGACAGGCATCTGGGAATTTGGATATCTTAAACCCTGTACTAACACATAGGTTAGTTATTAACTGTTGTGATGTTACGTTACATAACACTTACTAGTGGTCGTGGTCGCTCCCTCTCCTTTATCCACAGACGAGCGTCGCTTTTTACGCATCATCTGATGAAATATGAAGGACAACAAGGTTTTTAATGGCTAACGTTAGAGCGAGCTAGCGTCAACACTAGCAAACAAGCTAAGGTATCGTTATAACAAGTGTACTTCACTGGGGACATGTTACAGCAAACTACTATACTGTGGCTAAGGTATTAGCTAATAACGCTACAATACAAACATGCCATATTTAAGTATGTGGCGTTATATCGAGGTTATGTTAAATGCTAAAAAGTGAGACGTACGCTTGGTAGACAGACGAACACACAGACGGAGATGTCACGACTAAAGCTAAAGACACAGAAATTACTAAACAAACTCTCGCGCCAAAGGTGTCTTGCGCGTCACAAACCAGTTAGGGATCATCTATTTAGATGATCTTCATAGAGTTTAGGGAACCGAGGTAGACAGCTGAGAAGAAATTAACTCGTCTGAGAATAATCAAATAAAGCGACTATAGATTGTATAGTAGCTCCTTTATAAGTTAGTCGGTTGACTGAAGTTATTGTGCTTTTAAAAGTGGTCCGTCTTTCTACACTACAACGACTACAACATATTGTATACGGTCCCTAATTTTCTAGCATTAGGGCGCATGTTTTAGATAATCATTTTGTCCGTTGGTGGGCGGGGTGAGAACTCTGTCGACATATTTTCGAGCGATCACTTTTTCCGGGATACGCCGTGTGATGAAACATACACTCCCAAAGCGATGTACCTGCGCAACTACATCAAAGAGTGTGTTGTACATTGAGCGGCTTCACTTCTACCTGCTTCCTTCTTCGCCTAGCTTGGTTTACTACAGCGATATAGTCCATTCAAGTCATAATTCACGAGCCGTTTTGTTTAAAAAAAGAGAGCAGGATAATTTCCTCCAGGAAAAACAAAAAGGATGAAATAGTGGAAATTACGAAATTCAGTATTCATGTTTTGGCAACTTTTTGACTTAATTAATTAAAGATAAAATGTCAAAATTAAGAGTTACTAAATTCATGTTAAAGCATTTATAATCAGGGTTTAGTAAATCAAAATGTTTACTTACTCTTGCATGATTTTATTTTGACATACAATCATTGATGACTTTCATATTAATGTGATGGTATATTGGAACCTTCGAATCCCGTCCCGTAGGCTGCAGGATGTGAACCATCTTGAGCGATAAATACAAGATCTTTGGCTATATCTCACGGCTTGCTCAAGAAAGTAGAGTGACTCGGACATAAAGGGATAATTGTGACTCTCAACACAGAGGAATAGATATCGAAAATGGCAAAAATGGCTGCGAAATTTTACGACCTCTCGTCCAAACTGTTAACGGGAGAAACGTTTAATTTCTCCTCCCTGCAGGGCAAAGTTGTCCTCATCGAGAACGTTGCGTCTCTCTGAGGTACGACCACCAGGGATTACACCCAGATGAACGAGCTCCACGACCGGTACGCCGGCAAGGGGCTCGTGATCCTGGGAGTGCCCTGTAACCAGTTCGGCCATCAGGTGAGGAAACAATGTTATATTCACCAGGTGTATTCTCTTTACTTTCAGGCATACTGGGGTTATTGTTAGCTTTTGTTTTTATTCGTTTTACATATTTTCCCGGAAATAGCTCACTTGCGTTTAGAATTTTGAAACAACAATTATACAACAGCATACAGATATGTTGTTAATTATAATGAATTTGTAGGCTATTTTACTCAGTGGAAGGAGTTTTGTTCCTGGTTTAAACTTGCTTTATATATCCAAGTTTACTGGCGGGTTTAAGGTTTTAGCTTGTCTTATATTTAGTCAATAAGTATCTGCTACAGCCACTAATTCAAGTTCATTCATATAGTATCTAAACCAATAGATTAACATTTTGAAAAGTGAACCTATAACTCAAGGATACGTTTTGCTGGTGAGGAACCGAGTTTCTTTGAGATGCAGTTTCAGCATTGAATGTTTAGGAAAGAGGAAATTGTGGTAGTGTTAGTGACCAAGCACAAGTTAAGTTCTTCCTTATTTAACTTAATACATGCAACTTGTTCTGCTTCACAATTGTAATGCAGAGAATAAGCAATATGTCATTTATTAACTAAGTTTGTATGACAACAGTAGTAACTCATTAATAGACGGTTACAGAAATGATGGTTCAAATCAGCAGGAAGTGCTCTTTCTGTTCAAGATAAAGAGATAAAGACAGTGGAACCACAGCCTTCAACCAAAAGTTAGACTGGTTTACTGATCAGAACAGATATGTAAATAATAAAATGATTATTAGCCATTCAATTGTTTCCAATTTAAAACCTGCAGTATTGAAATTATGTTGGACTGCTGAAGTACAGACCTTTATTGTTCCATGACAATAACTGCGAACCACTTCCCTCATAAAACATAATGATGTAATACATGCCTGTAGAGACATAATGCCATGTTGGACTTTATCAAGGGGACTTCTTAGAGTGACCTGGACGTCTCTACTTCCCAAAATGTAACACAATCACACTTATTGTTCTGATTAACCCTTTCAGGAGAACTGCAAGAACGAGGAAATCCTCGTGTCTCTGAAGTATGTCCGTCCTGGAAATGGCTTTGAGCCAAAGTTTCAGCTCCTGGAGAAAGCGGATGTGAACGGGAAAGACGCCCACGCCCTGTTTGTGTTCCTGAGGGGAAAGCTGCCATTCCCCAGCGATGAGCCATCCGCCCTGATCAACGACCCCAAGCTGATCCTCTGGAGCCCGGTCAGCAGGACCGACGTGGCCTGGAACTTTGAGAAGTTCCTCATCGGGCCGGATGGAGTGCCGTTCAAGCGCTACAGCAGGAAGTTCCTCACCAGCGACATCGAGGGGGACATCAAGAAGCTCCTCAGCCAGGCAACCTAAACCGCTCGTCCTCCTCAGTGTTGTTCACCCACTTGTAGCAGCTTTTCTGCACCACGTGTGTAACCATGAGCTCATCACCTTTGGTGCTCATTGCTTCCCCCCCCCAAAGCTTCTGTAGATGGTGTGCAACACTTGTCCAGACCAGCTGTGCTCTCCTACATACGATGGCTGTGTTCTGCTCTTTTACAATATGAAGACATCCTCTGAAACCTAGTTGTGAGGGGGGTATCTGATGCAGCGTAAAAGCCTGAATGTTGTCAGCTGCCTTGTGTGTATACAAAGCACAGCTGTGTTTTGATTTGTCATGAGGACCAATAAATGTATTTGTTCATCCATTTCCTGACTGTCTCTCAGTGAAATCATGGTACCAATATTGTATATTGTTCTTTTGAATATATATTTATGTCGACCTGCATGATAAAGGCCGAATTAAAAAAAAAAAAACATGATCTTGAGTAAATGGGTAACATTGCCCATCTGGGTTTGTACCAACAGTGTGATTACTGTGCTGTTAGCGGGCCAACAGCAGAGTGCAGATCAGTTCATTTTGCAATCAGTCAGCATTAAATCAAGGTTGCAGCACGTGCCAATAAAACATAATTTTGCAATAGTTACTTCACAACTACCTCCAATGTTAAGCCAGCTTTAATGTAAGCTGATTACAGTATATCTTTGTGCGTAATTAGACCAAACAAACCACTTTGTTGAGGCCTCCAGTCTTTATTGTACTTTGAATTCAAATATTTCTCAATTAAAAACAAATACTGTAGATATTGGCAATAAGATAAATATGACGACAATTTTTTTACACCTATTTTCAATAGTCTGATTATTTACATGTCTTCGGTTATTTTTTGAGTTTGAATTGTTTGAAAGAGGGAAAATAAGATCCGCTGTGTTCGGCAGCTGGATTTTGTTTTCAACTAAGCATCTAGGATTGCAAATATGATGTAAAGCTTTTCTAGGCATAGGCTTAAATGATTATATTTAGGTAGTCATCTCTGAAAGACTTGATGGGCGGGACCAACCAGCAAAAAGAGCACTTGGAGGTCCTTCATATCAACATGCTGTAATGCGACATAGTGCAGAATTTATGCCACAGAACAAGACTTACAGGAATAGATCCATGAAGTACTAACTGCCATCTGGTTTCACCCAAAGACCCTCGAGACCGAGTAGAAGTCAATGTGTTTCATACCCACTCACACAGTTATACACCTGTTATAACGGCTTCCTGGGGTACTTGTGTGTCTGTAAAGAGACAACAAAGGGATTCTTCTCCTACGCCACCAACAGAGTGTGGCTTTATTTTACTTGCCAGCTGAGTGGTGTACTGTGATCACTGGAAGCAAATGGCTGCACTCAGTCAAGGTACTGCTGCCCTGACCCCATCTGATGACACATGTAGATTGTTCCCAATGACAGGGAGCAAGTTCAAGTTTCATCAAGAAGAGCACCGCTTTTATACTATTTTATTTTTGCTTCACTCAGTGTGCTTTTAGGATATCAAATAACAAAAGCCATTTCAATACAGCGCTGCATTAATGTACAAGACTAATAAGGACAAGCCATAGCAGGTGAGCCAGGGGTCTGATCAGGCAGCAATCAAAATATGCTTATAAGACACATTCAAATGATCTGGAAGTGTATGACAGACCATAGCCCTTAATGCTACGGCCAAATCATACAATCCTGTGATCTCTTGATGCACCAGAAGCAGGTAGGTCATGTACTCATGGAGAATTCAAAGTGCCCCCTTCTTTAGGCAGGTTGCAGGAATCAAAAGGCCGCTTTTGCATCGTCATTACAAAAAAAAAAAAAAAAAAAAAAGGGACAATAAAAATCGTTGGCAGGGTGAGACTCCTCTCATAAGTTTAGGGTCTGAGAGGCAGCGGAGCCCATTCTGTGCATCATAGAACAAAACAAAAAGAAAGATGGCTGAACAAGAGCAAGAAAAACTGGTTCTGCCACAAATCATGTCAAGAAGCAGATCTTAAACCGAGACGTCCCCTCTGTGGTTTAGATTGCAACAAAGATCTGGCAGCCCCGCTGCACACCTGCCGATCAGTGACTCACTCTACGCAGGTGGAATAAGGTCACAGGACTCTTTCAAACAAGCATGGCATGTATTGTTCTGTGTACACATCACACTGTCACGGGGGTCTGCATTTCCCTCAGCACAGCAAGATCATCGGAGATACATCTATGCACAATGCCAGTATCCTGCTAATGGCTTAAAAGTTGATATATTTTAATCATAAGAACCTTGGAACGCTTTGGTTGAAACAACATGTGCATTTGGCTTCTTTTTTTAATATTTCTGACAGAAACATTTGTTTATCTACGCATTTGAGGGCACTTCTAACATTCTGTTCATCCAGTGAGAGGATCTCTATCCGTACTCCTCTTTAGTTCCAGACTAGTAAGCTATGATCAGAAATCAGTCGGCCATCTGCTGCAGGGAAGAAGTCTCTCAGGTCACTCTTCTGACGAGGCCGTTGGCTCTAGGTGACAACATTCGAGACAGAAATCAAATAAAATACGGGGAAGGTGGGGTTAATAATGTTAAGTCTGTGGAGTCCTCTGTCACTAAAGTAGCTTTGTGTGTGCGTCCGAGTGTCTCTATTTGCCATATATATGTTTCAGTGCGTGTCCCTTCGCGTAAGGGCTCCTCAGTTTGTGTCCATGTGGTCATCGGCTGCTTCCGGGGCTCCTCCCAGTGAGGCCGAAGGCTGAGGTTTGGAGGGGGCTTCCTCGTCTCTGCGCTGATAGAACAGCACATAGGCTGCTTTAGTCTGAGTGGGGCAACAAGGACAGGGTTACACTACAACAACAGGGACACTCGACACCAAGGACAGAAAGCCGAGAGGGCTGAGTCACACATGACAGAAAGACATCACCAAACACTGCATCTCTGGAGGCATTCAAGTACAGGACACCTGTACACAGAACATTTATGAACATTAAAGAGTCACAACTCACCACAATCTGGTCCTCTGAGGCAGAGGAGACGCTGCTGTCATCAAAATAATACCACTTTCCATCCACTTTATTCTTGCCGTAAGCTGTGTCTGTAAGAAGGAAATAGGTGTTAAACAAACAGCTGTTCAGTTCATTTGTTTATCTAGCAAGAGAAACAATCTCACTCACACCCGTTTACTGTGAAGGGACAAAGCCAACACAAAAACAACTGGACAATGAGTCCACAGAGAAAGAAGACGCACAAGACACTTTGCCGTGTTAAAATGTAACTGATTAGAGTCCATGGAGACACAGTGGACTCATATTGTGTGTATGTTTTAAGACAAACAAAAAGAACAAGAGAGGGAATTTATTACCGGCTGGAAATATAATAGTTGTATGTTAAAATAAGCTCATTATGGTATGTTGATGTGGAGTGATATGGGCCTGTGATTTCCAAAGTGTCACAAGCGATTCAAATGACAGAGAACAGTTGACTTACAGTGACCGCCTCCCATTCCTCCATAGTGGTTTGACACGGCAATGAGGTCATATACGTAGGGGCCGGCCTTCGGGTCGCACACAAACTCGGACATGTCCAGATCCCTGACAAAGAACAGATCTTCAGTTACAGGGAAATAAAATGGCATTTCCACCGCACTGAAACGGAGTTATGAAACATACCACCTACTAAACAGCCAAGAAACAAAAGAGACGATTCTCTTAAAGTCACATTCAATGTATAACACAGCATGTGGGCCACTTGTATGTTTAAGTTAACCTTAGTGAGCATGAGTCAGCTGTTTTTAAAAGTAAGTCACGAGTCGATATGTGTTGCACACATAAAACACAGACAGATAGCTGCAACTTCTCCATTTGTACCGGGTTAATGACTCATGCTATGAAAGGCTACCGGTGAAAGTTTTATTAGTTACACAACTAAAACAGATAAGGACTGTTAGGACACGGGCGTATTGAGGCCAGTTCTCTGAGGCAACAGTCCATTTCTTCAAAGTACAATAAATACAGTATTTACTTATTCAGACCTCAGGTCACTTTGTTTCAGGCTACAGCTCCCCCTGGTGGAACAGGGCCACCGATACTGCACTTTCTCAGAACACTATTCTTAAAATATGAGTAACATAATGAGCATCCAAAGCTCCCGTTTGTCACAACCTGATCCGTATTTCTAACTGATTTGCATTGAGTAGCACTTGGTCACCAAAATCTATAACACGGCTTTTCTAAAGAAATGCTTAACTAATGTTGATGATTAACAAAGAAAGGAACTTTCAGTAATCAGGTATTGTCATAATGCTAAGCGCTGAGACTGTCCACCTTCAGACGGTATCTCTTCTCAGGACATCTGGAACTACGATAGAGACCCATCAGTGCCTTTTCTCCTTGTCAGACTAAAGCATTGTCCTTAAATGTGTCCACAATAATGTAGATGAGCAATACTGCCTCCTGCATACCTGATGGGAAAGTCCACCACTGTGTCCAGCTTGTCCCTCCAACACCGGTTGTAGGAGAACCGCTTTAGATGAACGACCAGAACGCGTGGCAGCGACCACAAGTCAAACTTTTTCGTGGCCTGTTGGTGTTTCTTACATGTTGGACAATACCTGCATAAAAAAAACAGATTATATTTATATGACAAAGCTGGAGACATGAGTGGTGGTTTGACACTGAACTAGGCTGCAGTTGTGAGACCTTACCATGGGTCATGTTCTCCAAGTGTCTCCATTGTTGTAAAGAGCTCGGTGCACTCCGTCAGGGCCACGGTGGCTTTCTTCTTCTGGGCCTGGAGCATGCTCTCGTGCTTCTCATAGGCCTACACACAATATTCACACAGATATAAATAGGCTGCTTGCATGTCTGGTCACAGGATTTATTCTGCCGACTATCAACCTACTGACCTCTGCTTCCTGCTCATCGTAGCACAGCTTCTTTGATGCTGCGTCCCAGTCGATGGCCACCGTGGAATGTGCTGCAGAGAGGAAGATGAGGGAGGGGCTCTGTCAACACAAAGGGGCTTTGAAAAACAAAACAAAACGAACAATTGTAAGTTCAAAAAGATTAGCACTGACGATTAAGTTTGAGGACATTTCCATCACAGGGCAGCGGGCTGATGTTAGCTGTGCCATAAGAGTTGACGATGCTGAAAGTGAAGAGCTTGGCTGGTGAAGAGCGGTGCTTGGCTGAGTCTCCTTTAGACCCATTTTCCAAGTCAGAGGTCTCTTCTTCATCCTCTTCAGACTGGCCATTCTCTGGCTCTGGACTCACCTGGTGGTCCATGGCCTCCTCCTCACCTGAACAGACAACAATGAAATCTCATCACTTTGCAGTTCTTTGCATGGCTGATCAATGTTTC